ACCATCCTGTGGTAGTAGGTTGGTAGACAACAACCACCCAGGGAGGTACTACCATCCTGTGGTAGTAGGTTGGTAGACAGCAACCACCCAGGGAGTACTACGTCCTGTGGTAGTAGGTTGGTAGACAACAACCACCCAGGGAGGTACTACCATCCTGTGGTAGTAGGTTGGTAGACAGCAACCACCCAGGGAGGTACTACCATCCTGTGGTAGTAGGTTGGTAGAAAACAACCACCCAGGGAGGTATTTACCGCCCCTGGGTATGGGTTTGGTTTGAAACAACCACCCGGGAGGGTACAAACCATCCTGGGGGAGTAGGTTGGTAGACAGCACCCACCCGGGGAGGTATACCACCTGTGGTGTAGGTTGGTAGACAAAAAACCCCCCCGGGAGGGATTTTATTTACCATCCTGTGGTAGTAGGTTGGTAAAACAACAAACCCCACCCGGGGTTTGTTATCGAAAACTTAAAAGAAATTCTTGCCCCAAGAGATTATCCCCCTTCATAACAGCAAAAAGGCACCTAACCCCTCCCAAATTTTGGTTTCCAGGAAAAGAAAAAAAGAAACAAAGGGACGCGGGTTAAAAAAATTTGCCTAGACCTTTTTTACACAGCACGGGGAAAAAATTGAATATCCACTAGGCCCTTTTTTATCAACCTAAGGAAAGCTTTTGATACAGCAGACCACAGAAATTTACTCCCCCAAACTTGATCATTATGGTATAAAAAGGCCCCTTTTGAAACTTACATATTTCAAATCCTGCCTTACTAACAGTCATCAATACGTCTCTGTTAAGGACACAACCTCATCAACAAGACCACTGGATACTGGAGTACCACAGGAAAGTGTCCTTGGCCCCCTGCTCTTCCTCTTATATATCAATGATGTTCCTAATGTATCACAACAACTTAAACCTATTCTCTTTGCTGATGACACGACTTATGTCATCTCCTAATCTTGCCTCACTCCACACTAAGTATTAACGAAGAGCTAGTAAAAATATCTACCTGGATGACTGCCAATAAACTTCCACTTAATATCAACAAAACTTTCTACATTATATTTGGGAGCAGAACAGGTGATGCCCAACTGAACATTATAATTGACAACACTCTCATTGCTAAACATAATGAGGGTAAATTTCTGGGTCTGCACCTTGACAGCAACTTGAAAATCAACACCCATATCCAACACACAACAAAAAAAAAAAATATCCAAAACAGTTGGGATCCTCTCAAAGATAGATTACTATGTACCACAATCAGCCCTACTCACACTATACTATTCACTCATCTATCCCAACTTCATCTATGCTATTTGTGCCTGGGGATCAACAGCAGCAACCCACCTAAAGCCAACAATAACCCAAAAAAAAAAAGCTGCAGTAAGAATTATCATGCAATCCAATGCAAGACACTCCCCCACTCTTCAAATACCTAAACTTACTCTCTGTACAAATCATTCACATCCACTAGTGTGCAACTTACATTTACAGAACCATTAAGTCTAATACTAACCCTGAACTAAAAACTTTCTCAATAGATGCAACAGGACCCACAGACACAATACTAGACACAAAAATCTCTAGAACTGCATACTCAAACACTCTTTTCAAAACTACTATTAAAAAACACGTTATCTCACTAACACATCCCATAATCAGCCAACTACTGTATGTGAAAACCATTTACATGTATTCTCTTTCTTTGTATCACAAACTATTTTACACTTACACTCACCCAAATGACTGTAAATATAAATTATTAATATAGTTATTGCCTAATTAATCTTAAGTTAGTCCTAAGTTTGTCTGAAATACTCTGCCAATATAGGACCTTTTATAGAAACAGAGTATCATGCTGAGATAAAACCATTCCCATTACTAAATTTACTAACTGTAATACTGTTATATGTTTTGTACTACCTCACTATTATCAGTCTAATTAATCATAATCACTTCAATTATCTAACGTTTAGATCAATATGCAATTATGTATATTAAAATGTACTGCTCCATAACCTGTGCCAATAAAGAGTATGAATTAGTCTGCCCGAAATGCCTAGGCATGTTAGTGGCTTTCTTTGTAATTTATTTATTTATTTTTTTTTCAACAAGTCGGCCGTCTCCCACCGAGGCAGGGTGACCCAAAAAAGAAAGAAAATCCCCAAAAAGAAAATACTTTCATCATCATTCAACACTTTCACCACACTCGCACATTATCACTGTTTTTGCAGAGGTGCTCAGAATACAACAGTCTAGAAGCATACACATATAAAGATACACAACATATCCCTCCAAACTGCCAATATCCCAAACCCCTCCTTTAAAGTGCAGGCATTGTACTTCCCATTTCCAGGACTCAAGTCCGACTATATGAAAATAACCGGTTTCCCTGAATCCCTTCACTAAATATTACCCTGCTCACACTCCAACAGATCGTCAGGTCCCAAGTGCCATTCGTCTCCATTCACTTCTATCTAACACGCTCACGCACGCTTGCTGGAAGTCCAAGCCCCTCGCCCACAAAACCTCCTTTACCCCCTCTCTCCAACCCTTTCGAGGACGACCCCTACCCCGCCTTCCTTCCCCTATAGATTTATATGCTTTCCATGTCATTCTACTTTGATCCATTCTCTCTAAATGACCAAACCACCTCAACAACCCCTCTTCTGCCCTCTGACTAATACTTTTATTAACTCCACACCTTCTCCTAATTTCCACACTCCGAATTTTCTGCATAATATTTACACCACACATTGCCCTTAAACAGGACATCTCCACTGCCTCTAACTGTCTCCTCGCTGCTGCATTTACCACCCAAGCTTCACATCCATATAAAAGTGTTGGTACTACTATACTTTCATACATCCCTTCTTTGCCTCCATAGATAACTTTTTTTTGACTCCACATATACCTCAATGCACCACTCACCTTTTTTCCCTCATCAATTCTATGATTAACCTCATCCTTCATAAATCCATCCGCCGACACGTCAACTCCCAAGTATCTGAAAACATTCACTTCTTCCATACTCCTCCTCCCCAATTTGATATCCAATTCTTCTTTATCTAAATCATTTGACACCCTCATCACCTTACTCTTTTCTATGTTCACCTTCAGCTTTCTACCTTTACACACATTCCCAAACTCATCCACTAACCTTTGCAATTTTTCTTTAGAATCTCCCATAAGCACAGTATCATCAGCAAAAAGTAACTGTGTCAATTCCCATTTTGAATTTGATTCCCCAAAATTTAATCCCACCCCTCTCCCGAACACCCTAGCATTTACTTCCTTTACAACCCCATCTAAAATATATTAAACAACCAGGGTGACATTACACATCCCTGTCTAAGACCTACTTTTTAACCGGAAATAGTCTCCCTCTCTTCTACACACCCTAACCTGAGCCTCACTATCCTCATAAAAAACTCTTTACAGCATTTAATAACTTACCACCTATTCCATATACTTGCAACATATGCCACATTGCTCCTCTATCCACTCTATCATATGCCTTTTCTAAATCCATAAATGCAATAAAAACTTCCCTACCTTTATCTAATACTGTTCAAAATATATGCTTCAATGTAAACACTTGATCTACACATCCCCTACCCACTCTGAAACCTCCTTGCTCATCCGCAATCCTACATTCTGTCTTACCTCTAATTCTTTCATTATAACCCTACCGTACACTTTTCCTGGTATACTCATAAGCTTATTCCTCTATAATTTTTACAGTCTCTTTTGTCCCCTTTCCCTTTATATAAAGGGACTATACATGCTCTCCCGCCAATCCCTAGGTACCTCCCCTCTTTCATACATTTATTGAACAAAAGTACCAACCACTCCAACACTATATCCCCCCCCTGCTTTTAACATTTCTGTCATGATCCCATCAGTTCCAGCTGCTTTAAAAACCCCTTTTCATTTTACGTAATGCCTCACGTACCTCCCCCACACTTACATTCTGCTCTCCTTCACTCCTAAAAGATGGTATACCTCCCTGACCAGTGCATGAAATTACTGCCTCCGTTTCTTTCCTTAACATTTAAAAGTTCCTCAAAATATTCTCGCCATCTACCTAATACCTCCCTCTCCCATCTACTAACTCCCTCACTCTTTTTTTTAACTGACAAATCCATACTTTCCCTAGGCTTTCTTAACTTGTTTAACTCACTCCCAAATTTTTTTCTTATTTTCATTAAAATTTCTTGACAGTGCCTCTCCCACTCTTTCATCTGCTCTCCTTTTGCACTCTCTCACCACTCTCTTCACCTTTCTTTTACTCTCCATATACTCTGCTCTTCTTATAACACTTCTGCTTTGTAAAAACCTCTCATAAGCTACCTTTTTCTCTTTTATCACACCCTTTACTTCATCATTCCACCAATCACTCCTCTTTCCTCCTGCCCCCACCCTCCTATAACCACAAACTTCTGCCCCACATTCTAATACTGCATTTTTAAAACTATTCCAACCCTCTTCAACCCCCCCACTACTCATCTTTGCACTAGCCCACCTTTCTGCCAATAGTCGCTTATATCTCACCCGAATATTTTATAATATGCAAACCACACATTGTAAGCTTTGCAAGGAAATAAACATTTTCATTTTCTTTTCATTTCCATTTGTCTTTTTCACCACTAACACCTTGTTCTGGCTCAATGGTTATTTGTCTCGCTAAAAACCTGTCCAGTCAGGTTTGTTTCTGGCTCGGTTTTAACACTTGTCTAAATTGACACATTACAATGTCACGCCAAAATTTGTCTGTTGACAGCCAAGAAAACGTACAAAAATGAGGACTTTTTTTTTCCTTGAACACCTCATTCATAAACCATTTATTTGACATGTAATGTAATCAAGAAGTGAGGTTGAAGTGTACTTGGGTATATTGAGCAAGCTGGGTGATCGTATCTAATGTGTGCCATAAGTGCCACGTAATGAAAGGGGAGAAAGCAAACAAGCACATTAATATAAATTTAAAAACTACTAGGTTGGACAGAGTGGGACCTAACAATAATTAAGACTAAAGACTGCCCTTACATCACATAAATATACTTGTGAAAAACTCATATAATACACAGGTAAATTTCAAAATGACTCTGATATGTGAAAAGTGTAATGCTACAAGAAAAAATTGACACATCTGACCAAAATTTGAATGTGCATTAGTAGTATCTGCACCAATGTACGAAGAAAAAAAGAAAAAGATGCTAGGCAAATGCTCCCAGAGTAATAAATATGAGTTAGTCATAAAAGATTGAAAACTGAAAATGCTCTATTGTGCCTAGAAAGAAAGAAAGAAAGGGACAATCACATCTAAGAATAACAGTAACAAGTACTCAAAGAACACCAGAAAATATAAAAATAATAGTGGCACAAATCTGGAATGGAATCCATTCTAGGTAATTATTTGGTGTATCATAGTCTTACACTAATCAATCCAATGCAGGTCCCAAAAATTTTCCGGTGTATTTACTACTAGGTTATGCCTGCTGCGGTGTCGGGAACATTTGTTCATCATCATCTGCAGGACAAGTAAATAAAAATGTTGTACTGTATGTACAAATTAAAACCTGAATATACAAATGCACACAGAGGTTGAACAATGAGTTACCAGAGGTGTGGAGTAAGTGCCATAACTACAAGTTTTAAAAAATGTGATAATTATCAAAGATGAGATAACATGAACTTAGCTTAGAGCTTAGATCTACTCTTGTAATTACAAGTAGGTAAATACACAGTACTTGCACTATACATGTATATATAAAACACACCAAAACTTACAAACTAGCTCAAGTCAACCAAACAAAAAGTAAATACAGGAAACTAATATCTTATATTTTGATTTCTCTTAAGTTCAGAATATTTGAAAAATGTCAAATTTCAGATTTTTTTTAACACGTTGGCTGTCTCCCATCGAGGCAGAGTGACCCAAAAAAGAAACACTTTCATCGTCATTCAACACTTCCACCATCATTCGCACATAATAACCGCCTTTGCAGAGATGCCCAGATATGACAGTTTAGATGTCACTCCAAACAGCCAATATCCCAAACCCCTCCTTTAACCCTTAAACTGTCTAAACGTAGATCTAAGTTCACTCGCATGGCGTTCCCAACATTTTGAAAAATAAAATAATCATTTTTTTTAAATGAAAAGCATATTTTTCTACATGTTATAGGATAATATTTTTTTTTTTTTAGGGTCAGTATTTACCGAGATATAAAACCGTGAAGTTGGCTCTGGAAACTCACCTGATGGCAACATCGACTCCTGCTGTTTGCAGATGTGTTGCCGATATACCTTTTTCTCTTGTTTTTATTTTAATTTATATATTTTTTTATGTTCTGATAATTACAATTTATAATAGTTCTTGTGATTTCATAGCCAATCTTTGTTCTGACACTAATATTGGGTACTGAAATTGTAGTCAAATAGTCACAATCACATTGACAGGTGAACATTTACACCTGCCTGGGTTATTAACTATTGTCTAGAAATATATAAAGTATTTATAGGTCCCAGCAATGTTTTAGATACCCTGGCATATACCTTGAAGCATGCTGTTATGAAAGGCATCCCTATACTGTTGACAGCCCAGTGACATTCAATAAATGCCCGCTGCTCCAGCTAACCCTCGATGTATTTGTTATCACTGTTACACACAAACATGTCTTGTCGCTCTGTCTATCTGTCTCTGTTTATCTGTCTGCCTGTCTGTCTGCTTATCTGTCTGCTTGGAGTATACATATATCAAACTCCTTGAAGAAGGGTGTTATGACAACTGTGACATTTGATAAATGGGCACTTGGGGAACCCTGGCTTTATTTGTTTACACTGATACACACCAACATGCTTGTCTGTCTATCTGTCTGTCTGTCTATCTATCTGTCTGTCTATCTTTGCCTGGAATTTTTGGGTTATCCTAGGTAATTTACACTATAATAACTGTACTTATGTGTACATGTGAGACAGAGATATAGATAGAAATATAGATAGACAGAGATATAGATAGAGATATAGAAATTAGATAGATATATAGAGAGAGATATAGACAGAGAGACAGCCAAAGCAAGCCAGCCAGCCTGCCGAATACATAAGAACATAAGAAAGAAGGAACACTGCAACAGGCCTACTGGCCCATGCAAGGCAGGTCCATGTCACCCTCCAACCTTCCCTCCCCCCTGGCTTAGACCAATGACCAACCTAGTCAGGTCACATCCATTGAAGGAAGGAGCATGACATCAGACCTAGTAGCACAAGCTAGTCAGGTCCAACTCACACCCACCCACACTCACTCATGTATTTATCTAACCTATTTTTACTTTCCTCTTAAAATGTGAGTGTTAATGCGACAAGGCATTAGTGAATCCCTGGTGTTTTCCAGGCTATATGCGCTAGCTGGTGCTCAACTGAACTGGTGCTCCCACAAGGTACTAAGTGCTCCCAGATTTTTTTAATGGGAAAAAAAAAAGTCTGGGCTGGACGGTATCGCCCTTGGTGCTGGCCATGTGGTCAGAAACTGTAAGGCTGGAGGTGCTGCCCTGGTAGACAGTAATGGTGAAGCTGGAGGTGCTATCCTGGGAGACAGTAATGGTGAAGCTGGAGGTGCTATCCTGGGAGACAGTAATGGTGAAGCTGGAGATGCTATCCTGGGAGACAGTAATGGTGAAGCTGGAGGTGCTGTCCTGGGAGACAGTAATGGTGAAGCTGGAGGTGCTGTCCTGGGAGACAGTAATGGTGAAGCTGGAGGTGCTGTCCTGGGAGACAGTAATGGTGAAGCTGGAGGTGCTATCCTGGGAGACAGTAATGGTGAAGCTGGAGGTGCTATCCTGGGAGACAGTAATGGTGAAGCTGGAGATGCTATCCTGGGAGACAGTAATGGTGAAGCTGGAGGTGCTGTCCTGGGAGACAGTAATGGTAAGGATGGAGGTGCTGTCCTGGGAGACAGTAATGGTGAGGATGGAGGTGCTGTCCTGGGAGACAGTAATGGTGAGGATGGAGGTGCTGTCCAGGTAGTCAGTAAATGTATGCATGAGGGAATACATATAAATGACCTCGAGGGAGACAGGAGCTGTAGTGGGGAAACAAGTGTAGTCAAGGACAAGATAAAACCAATATTACAAACTAGTAATACCACAGGAGATAGCAAACATGGGAACTCCACTAGCAATAGTGAGGATATATTACCAGAAACAACTGGTGAGAGCTCCATTGTTAGTACTAGTGAGGATAGGAATGAGACAGGTAAACATGCACCAACAGGGAATACAGTCACAGAAACCCAAGGCAAACAGAAACCAAGCCTGTGCACATACTATGCCCTTGGTATCTGCAGGTATGGGAAATCTGGAAAAACAGATGGGACATGCAACTATGACCACCCTAGAAAATGCCGTGCCCATACAACAACAGGAAAATGCAAACTCTCTTCCTGTAAGCTTTTTCACTCTGAAATGTGTACCTCTTCAGTACAGGAAAGACTGTGCTATAACTTAAATTGCCAGGCACACCATCTAAAGGGGACAAAAAGATACAAAACATCCAGGCCATGGAAAACCGGGGGTACCACACCCCATCAAGGGGGAGAGGTTTTTTAGTGCCAGGAAGGAAAAAACTGCCAGGAAATGGCGGAAATAGTACGCCAAATCCAGTCATACACATTCGTCTCTCGACCTGCGGGGAGAGAGGACGCTTCTACAGGTTCTCTTGCACGCCACCTGGTGAGGAAAACATAGCATTAGCTCCAAGATGGCGGACCAAATGTACCGCGCAAAAATACTGTCTGCATTCGCGGTTAACGTTTTTAAAAGCAACGCCACATGAATTCCCCTGCCAAGCATTATCAGGGACTGTTATGGCATCCCCAAATGAAGAGCGTAGGGAAAGGGGCACTGAAGGGAATTAAAGGGTTTTTGTAAGTTCATGGGGGCTGACTTCTATCCCATGTCGCGTTTCCCAAGAAAGGGGATGAGTATCAACCGGCAGGGGAAGTATGCTTCTGATGTTCTAAGTTTTTTATTGGGGGAAGGTAAGGAATTACCTTTTGAGGCAACACCCTACGCCTTAAAAGATGTTTCAGGGTTGGGGGACTGTACACTCGACGAGCATGGGGAATGTGGGGACGGCCCTTATGGGGGGATCCCGGGAAAGGGACCCTTTCACACAAAATTGACCCTGGGGGAAAACCGATACCATCATATTTTTTACTTGCTAACCAAAAAACACAGGGTTTTTTTTGTACACTATGCGGGGCAGAGGAAACGTGCCTTTTATGTGACTCTTATGAGCACATGGTGGAAAATCCCCCAGGAGACAGGCCCCCCAGGCGCGGAGACAGCTTCTGGGATACGCCTTAGAAGCCACGGATGTTGTGACGGGTAAAGTAAAAAACCCGGGTACGGCCATGGATGAGGAGGTCGACAGGGCAGAGGTAGTTTTGGAGACTTTGTTACACTACCAGTGGAAACGGGGGGGGAGGGAATATCGTGTCAGACAGACCGTTAGAAAATGCGAGTCACTCGGACGGGATTTTGGGGGCTGTGCTAAAGGATTTTTGGAAGAGTCGGGCATGGTGGGGAAAGTGATGTGGGTCAGGTGATGAAAAGGTGAGGGAAAAACAGAAGCGGGTAAGGAAAACTTGAGTGGGGTTTCGAAAGGAGGAGCAATGTGGTGGTGGAGGTCCATCAAGAAAGAGGTTGCAGAAGAAAAATGTGGTAGAGGGTAGCTCCCGCAAGAGACAGCGGGGCATCAGACATGGACAAGTCCCACACACCAGCGCAGAGGCCGGGAAAAGAAAAATTGGGCACTGGGGTAGCAAAGGCAGTCCGGGAGGGGGGGGGGCAATGGGAAGCTAGGTGGGAAGGGGAAGGGGGGGGTTGGGGGGCGGGGAAGAGGGATTGATAAGAAGAACCAGACCTAGAAAGGAGGCCCAAAAGAACTCACGGCCGGGGTAACCCCGCCTTTCTTTAAAATTCAGGTGGAACTTTCAATGTAAACGGTTTTAAAAAACCGAGGTCAAAGAGGGTGGGGTTAAGGGGGTTTTTGAGGAATTTAGTATTGATGTTTTTTTTTGCAAAACAAACCATGGGTTGGGATGTGAGTTGTTTTTAAAAGGGTTTAGGTTGTTTACATGTATTTTTGGGGTTGAAAGGGGGTGGGGCTGTGGCGGAAAAGGAACCCGCTCCTTTGCGTATCCTGGGTTGGGAGGAAGGGGGGGGGGGGAGGGTTGCAGGGTGGAGGTTTTGGGGGGCCGGGAGGGTTAGTTTTGTAGGTGTGTACATCCCAGCAACTAGTAAAATGGGGAAAGGTGGATTTTGTACGCGGTTCTGGAATATCACTTGAGAGGTTTCCCCTGCTTTTACGGTGATTGGTGGGGATTGGGAATTGTTCATTAGGAAAGGGTGATGTGGTTCCGAGGGGGGGGGTTGTTTTTTTGGGGGGTTCGGGGGGGATGTTTTGCGAGATTTTGGGAGGGGTAGTTGGGGGGAAGTGGGGATAGGATTGGAGCACCTTTTATTCGTG